ACTGGCTCTTGACTCTCTTGTGTTGGCTCTTCCCCTTACACTAGTTTCTCTCAAGAGCACCTGGGTTAGTCTCCTGCAGCTCAGTCTCTCCATCACACCGAAGGGTTCCAAAGATTACACAATAATGCTTATAAACTGCTGCTTGGAAGGACTCTAATCAGTGTCCCGAGCATGCATGCTTCCTAGGTGTGCTGTAGGGTAACGGAACTGTTTGGGAGGAAAATGTTTAGTCACTTTTTTTTCTTCTATGGATTCTTCATACAAATTAAGACAACTACATCACCATGGCCCTGCAAAGAATCTTGCAATGGGCTCATTAAGGTAACTTTGGGAAGATAGTGGGTTGTTATTTTTTTTAAGGGAACTTTGCCGGCTCCCTCAAACACATGGCAAGTGGACAGCAAGGAAAACATAGTAAATTACTTCCATATGGCTCAAAGCAATGAGAAACATTTTTGATTAATAACACATTCCCTACAATAAAATTGCTTCCAAATCTGCCAGAGGACACCAACTTATCTGCTACATCTATTTCCAATTTGATTTTTCACTGTTTTGACTCACAAAAAGAAAAAAAATTCCTACACTCCCCACTGGTTCACTGAAACGATGGTCCTTCTGGGGCAGTCACCTGCTCCTATTCCTGTGCTAGCCCACAGAGAGCTGCTCCTTTGCTGATTTTAGAACCAGCTGCTGAGACATGAGCCTCAAACATTCAAGAGATGGCTTTTACAGCCTCATCAGTTGGTGCAATCATTAACATGTCATCTGCATATGTGAGTGCTAGAGTGAGCATTTAGTCTCCATGTCCTGCGCATGCCTCAACTGTGAGCCAGGCAGGTTAGGTCCCATCATAAATTCTCTTCAAAAGGCTTTAATTGCTGTATAAAAGTCCAAGCGAGCACCCTAGTCTTCAAGTTTTCATTGTCTGGAAGCAGCGATCACACCCTGTTGCTGCCTCGCCACTCTGAGGACGTGCCAGAAACCTACTCAATTGAAGCATCCGTGCGTAGTCTCTTTCTCCTTCAAGAGCTTCCCTCCCCACCCTCTCCTTTTTCAAAGGAGATAAAAATGAAAACCTGACTGTCTTTTACTCTGCATTTTACAGTGTCTGTGGGTGTACCAAAGCCATCTGCCACCCCCGTCCCTTAACGCCTGGAATGATGATCATGTCGTCTTCTCCGAAAAGACTGTTAATCTCACGGTAATCCCTGCTAATCACTTTGTAATCAGCGCTCCCGGGGGCTAAAGGTCCTCAGCTCCTAATCATGATGTTGTAATCATCATTCTTGTGAGACAGCATTTAGTAAGCCCTAAATCTTGGGTTTAATTCTTCTTAGCTTCCTAATTATTTCCTGAGACAAAGGCAGGAACTCTCTGGATAGGAGAAACCAGAGCTCTCCGGCTTGAACTGGCACAAGAGATCACACTCACTCCATAGTGAAGTTTCTGATGTCTGATCAAGACTTTCAACTTGGTGATAAGTATTTTTGGATCCCCAGAAGTAGGTTTCTCTGCCAACACAATAATCCAGATCAAGCCAAATTAAAAGTCCAGGTTTAATAAGCAAAGCAACCCAGATGACTCTCAAGCCCCCCAGAAGTGAGGTGGGGGGAGGAGAAATCCCAGGGCAGGTCTAGGGACCCAAGCTTAAATATCCTGTAGGCACAGAGCAGCTCTTGGGGAGGAACTGCTGCTTTGGCAGGTTTTCTAAGATGGACAGGGTTTGGAATGGGGGTGAGGGGCCAAAGTGGGCTTCCAGCTGAACATCCCAACCTTCTTGAATATATGGGCTCTGGTTCAAGTCTGACTACTTCCTGTTGGCATGGGATGATGTGGGGAGGGGAGTTGGGAGTCAGTGGGCTGCTCAGTGGGAGGTATGGGTCAAGAGGCATCTGGTAACTGCCATGACCCCAGGAATCTGTTTCTTGAGGAAGCAGAGAAGGCAAGGAGGAAAAAAAATAGATTATTAACATTGGCCCTATGAATGGGGCCAGCCAGGGGAAGAGTGAAGAGTGTCAGAAAGAGTGGGACAGAGCTGTGACCTGGTTGTAGAGAAGAGGCAAGGGTGAATGCCAAAGGTGAATGAGCAGGACAGAAGAGCAGAAGACCAGAAGACCCTTCATTGGGACATTTGAAAAACCAGAGGGTGGAGGGTCCTAGTTGCTGGACAGACCATTTATCCTGGATAGGTGCCTGCTTGAGCCTGGAAAGGTGGTACCCGCAGTCACCTCTCGTGGGGATCGTGGGGAGGTGGGGTGTTGGCACGCCAAATTGAGGGATGATGTGTTCCAGGAGTACCTGAGCCATCACATCCGCTGTTTGCCTGGAGGTAAGGAGTGCCTCCATCCATCCTGTGAAAGGTGTCAGTAAGAGTTAAGAGATAAAGAAGCATTTTATGAGTGGGCATGTGGGTGAAGTCAACCTGCCAGTACTCGCTTGATTGGTGTCCTCAGAGCTGGTGCAGGGCCTGGTGTATCTGGAGGGCCTCCTGCAGGTTGGCCTTGGAACATGTCTGGCAGGAGGGGTGGACCTGTAAAATATGGGTTCGAAGATGGGTGGAGTCAAAGAGGGGCTCCAGAGACTGGTATTAGTTTCTCCAGGCCAGATTTCTTGATACAGTAGCAGAACTCTTTCCCCAGGAACCTGCAGGTGCCTGTAAAACATCTGGAACAGATTTACACCTTGGTGTCATAGCCAAGGCTATGGCTTTGGGTTAAAAGGCATGAACATTTTTTCCTAAGGCCTGTTTTTAGCTGATGAAATACACCTTTAAGTCTATACTTAGAAGACAACCAGAGGAAATTAACTGAACGAAAGAGGTTGAGCAAGCAGAGGAGGAGGGAAAGAGTCTCAGGAGCAAGGGAGGGATGGAGTTGAACAAGCCTGCAGGCTTCCATACCCTCTTTGATGCTAACCTATTTCAGAGGGGGAGGAGTTGGTATTTCAGCAGAGTTTTGCCGTCTGTGGCTGGAGACAATGCAGTAATGCTGAAAAAGCCTCTATGCAGTCCTAAAAGTTGGGTCTTAATCCATAGAAATGAAAGAACTTCTGAAAACTGCTCATAGACAGTGCTCTATCAGTTCATCAAAACTTCATTTACCAATGCTGAACCTCCAAAACTCCATTGTAGTAATAGCATAGAAAGGGGACAGAAGTCTGAAATATCATTACATACTTAAGTGGGAAGTTACACCTGAAACCTGTTTATTCTTTACTATGAAGCCTGTGAACAAGGCAAACATGTCTGTATTTTCAACAGGAAACTTAACTAATGAACTAATGAGCTTCCACGGTGGTTGTAGCCTTGAGGGGTTGAGCGCAGAGTGTTAAACTGGTAACTCTATCAGTCCTCTAGTCTTCAAACACCATCAGATCTGAGAAAGGATAAATTTCTCCTGAGTAAGCAGAAATGACACAGCTTTCCAACTCCCTAGACAGCCACCCCAGGTTCCTCCATGGTCCTTGGGGACAGAGGTTCCCAGGGCAGCTTCAGTCTTCAGCTGCCAGGCCCAGAAGGACAGACTTTCCTGTGGTGTAGGAATTTGGGGAGACTGGCCTACCTTGTCTTGGCAAAGTGGGGCAGTCAGTTCCCCAGTGTCCTGCTTGTCCACAGTCTAGACAGGGTGTTAGCAGTAGTTAAGGTGCAAGGCAGTTTTCAGCTCTGTGTCTAGTTTTGCTACATTTAAAGCAAGCTTCCAGTGGAAGTTCTTCTGTGGCCATCCATCTTCCTTGGAAGAGACACAGGGTACTGCTAGGAGCTGGCATGTCTCTATTATGAGAAGCTTTTTTATTAAATGCTATATTCTCAGATCTCTGAAGCATTTGAGGATCAGGGGATCATTATCTGTTAGGTATAAGCAGTTTAGTATCTCTAGAAGGCAAAACCCAGTTTTCACAATGTAAACAATTTAGTGTTTCTAAAATCATTATCAAAGGAATTACCCTTATGTTACAAAATCTGGATGCCAGCAAGATACAATGCTACACATGGATATATGCAGGTGTAGTTTGGATACTTCAGTAAACCAGCATTGTTTTAAATCCTATCTTTCATAAACCTAGGTTTTAGGACAGGACGGGAATTATCATACAGAATTCTATCTTAATCCAAAATATCTCAGAGACCTAATGTCTCCTTGGTAGGCCCACTCCATGTAGTCGCCTTTATTTAAGATGGTGGTGAAGTCATATACCTTCCTCCTCTCCATCCTAAGTCAAAATAGTAGTTTCCCATGTGGCTGTACTTAATTAAGGTGGTGGCAGACCATGAGTTGCTTCTCAGAGCAGTTCCAATTTGGAGTTAAAAGTTTTAAGTTAACTTTTTGTTAATGATATTTTAACCATACCCAACTCCTTAGCTGTTTTGTTTTGTTTTTAAATAAGGTAGAACAGTATAAAATAACTGTCTCTGTCATCACATCAAATTCAGGGCTAGAAAATCCCAGAGTCAAATTCTGAGCCTGGACAGCTAGTTGTAATAACAACTGAGCTGTTACCAAGATACACAGAACATGTAAACTCAAGCATCCAAGACCAGTCAGAAACAAGCATTCAGTGGCCACATACATTTCCATCCATACACAGAAAATAGATGGGGCTAACAAAACTTTCTGTGGGGAGCCATGCCAGATGACCAACTTAAAAATCCTGAAATAAGAGTGATAAATGTATCCATCCTCTTTTCCCATGGCTGTAGCCGAGAAAAAAATAAAAAGTTAAAATAACAAACCGGGATCAGACTCCAATCTTGGGCGTCCCCGAGAGTGGAGAGAGAGCTAAGCATCAGCTCAAGTTCACCATCCTCTTCGTCAAAGGATGGGAAGGGCTGCGGCTGCACTGCAGTTGGTCCACGATGGACCTGAGACAGCATGTACTCCCTCATCAGGAGCAAAAATGTGCCTGTCGTTGCCAGCACAGCCCAAGGACAACCCCCAGGGTGTCCGTCGCAAAGAATATAGCTCACACTACAGCCACGGACTCACAGTGGACTCACTCACTGTGGTGAAGAATCATGGAGGTAGCAGTAGTGGTAGCTGTGTTGGGGTCCAGCGGAGGCGAGGAACATGTGTGCGCACTCGCAGTCTCGAGGTCTTGCAGTCTCGCTGGATGGGGGAGGAGGCGGCAAGCGGCAGCAGTCACAGCAGGTCCTCAGTGGTCTGTCTGAGTCACGACACCAATGTTGTTAAGCAGCGCTCGTGGCTGGCTGCCACCCGCGGTGGCCATGCCAACAGAGAAGAGTGCTGGATGTATTGGTAGTGGAGGAGTCACAAGCCATGGTTACCTTTCTAGAGCTTTATTGGGAGAGAGAGGGAGAAAGAGAGAGAGGGAGAAAGAGAGAGAGGGAGAGAAAGAGCAAAACACAGAGAGAAACAGAGAAACAAAGAGACCGTGTGGAGGGAAGAGAATGGAAGGAGAGAGTGCGGAAAGAGAGAACACACAGAAGGCACGCCCGCTTTTTAGGCTGGGACGCCATCGCAGGCTGGTGATGTAATTAAGGACAGAATCCTTACACCTTGGCCTGGCCACATCCTGGAAGGGTACCCCGAAAATAGGGTCAGCAGAGGTCTGGACCTCTGGAGGCAATGACGTGGAACCGGTTATTTACTGAGCCAAAAGCCAATCAGGTCTGGCAGAGGGCAGGGTGAAAGGGAGGGTGGCTTCCCATGGCCAGGTGGTCTTGGGAAAGACTCAACTCTATCTGGGTTCAGCACCAGATGATAACTATTTTTGGATCCCCGGTAGTAGATTTCTCTGCAGACACAATAAGCCAGATCAAGCCAAATTAAAAGTCCAGGTTTAATGAGCAAAGCAACCCCGGATGACTCTCAAGCCCCCCAGAAGTGAGGTGGGGGGAGGAGAAATCCCAGGGCAGGTCTAGCGACCAGAGCCTAAATACCCTGAAGGCGCAGAGCAGCTCTGGGGGAGCAGCCGCTGCTTGGCAGGTTTTCTGAGAGGTGCGGAATTTGGAATGGGGGTAGGGCCAAAGCTTTCAACTGAACACTTTGGATAACAAAGATAGATCTTCCCCCCAAAAAACTTCCTCCTCCTCTTCTTCCTTTTCTTCTCTTCCCTTTCCTCCATCCATTTTTTCACTTTCTTATTCTTTTTCCCCAGTGATGTTTTTTATTTCAGATTTATTTTTTATTTCATTTTATGTGTGTGAACATTTTGCCTGCATATATGTATGCACACCACACGTGTGCCTGCTGCCAGAGGAGGTCAGAGGAGGGTATCAGATCTCCTGGAACTGGAGTTACAGATGGTTGAGAGCTACCATGTGGCGGCCCGAAACCTGAACCCAGGTCCTGTGGAGGAGCATCAGGAGCGGCTGAGCCATCTCTGTGGTCCTTCTCTATCTCCTTTAACCTCTTCTTTTCTCATCTTTACTGCTTGGTTAGCAACTTTCCTGTAAGGAGCAGCGTGCCCCCCGTGTGTCCTTAGGGTTCTGTTCTCTGAGTCACATACTTTTCCTTTTAGTTTTGTTTAGTCAAATTGAGGAAGTACTTCTGTAGCCCTAATTCGCTTTCAAACATAAATGGCTGTTGGATTTGGTTGATTCATATGATTTTTTTTTCAGTCTGATGGGATACATTGTTTGCTTTTTATCCTGTTGTGTTCTCCGGTACAATAGCTTAATTCTTTTACATAACTATGCCATTTCTTTTTTTCTCTTCTTTTCCCAATTGTACTTCCCTGGAGGCAGCTTATCACACATCTCAGAGGCTTCCTGTTTTGTTAGATGGAGAGCATTCTTTTTTTTTTCTTTTTTACTTCTTCCTCTATCACAAGTTTCGGATTCTGTGTTACCATCTCGTCAGGCAGTGGTTTTCTTCCTTATGTAACACTCTCATAAAGGCTGTTGGAGGGCTAAAAGGATGGCCCCTGGCCAGGTGGTGGTGGCACACGCCTTTAATCCCAGCACTTGGGAGTCAGAGACAGGTAGATCTCTGTGAATTTGAGGCCAGCCTGGACTACAGAGTGAGATCCAGGAAAGGTGCAAAGCTACACAGAGAAACCCTGTCTTGAAAAACAAAACAAAACAAAACAAACAACAACAACAAGATGGCTGGCCCCGTAGATAAAGCCCTCACCACACAAGCCTAAGGGCTTGGATCAGATCCCCAGGAGTTGCAGCCCACAGTAACCCCAGTGCTCAGAAGGCAGGGAGGGGATCCCAGAGGCAAGCTGCCTAGAGTGACTAGCCAATCTGTGAACCTCAGGTTGAGTAAAAGATTGCCTCAGGAAATCAAGAGGAGCGCTATCGAGGAAGACATCTGGCTTCAATCTTGAGCTTCCACAAGCACACCTGTGCATGCTTACCTGCATACACTCATGTGAATTTGAACATGGATACAACATGTAATATATACATACATATGTATACACATATGTATGTATGTGTATATATGTGTACATATATATATATATATATATATATATATATATATGCAGTCTGCTTTTACTCTAAAATCTCTTTACTTGAATATCAAATAGAAAAAGTCATTCACTATTTAGTCTGGGCTGCCACATCAACACAGTTTAAAGTTGTGACTTTAAACAAGTGAGAAATGAACCTTTTGTTCATTTGGTTATTTCAATAATAAAAAATAGCCAGGCAAGGTAGTGTAAGCCTGTAATTTGTAAACTGGGGAGATGATGAGTTCAAGGATAGCCTGAGCTACAGAGCCATTGCTTATCTCGGTAAGTAAGAAGAGAAGTGATAGACAGATCAGTAGAATATGAGAACACCTTCCCAGTGTCCTTGTTTCCTGAGCCCCACCCTACAGCGCATGATTGTAGCTAGAGTTTTCCTGCCTGGCCCGCAGTCAGGACAAATCTCTCTCACCTGCCAGTCCCACAGCCACTCAGACCCAACCAAGTAAACACAGAGACTTATATTGCTTACAAACTGTATGGCCATGGCAGGCTTCTTGCTAACTGTTCTTATAGCTTAAATTAATCCATTTCTATAAATCTATACCCTGCCACGTGGCTCGTGGCTTACCAGCATCTTCACATGCTGTTTGTCATCGTGGTGGCTGGCAGTGTCTCTCTCACTCAGCCTTCCACTTCCCAGCTTTATTCTCCTCCTTGTCCCGCCTACACTTCCTGCCTAGCCAATGGCCAATCAGTGTTTTATTTATTGACTAATCAGCAACACATTTGCCATACAGAACATCCCACAGCACATTTTTATCAGGCTTAGATTTTTGTTTGTTTTGTTGTGTTGTATTTCAAGACAGGGTGTCTCTGTGTAGCCCTTGTTGTCTTGGAACTCACTCTGTAGACCAGGCTGGCCTCGAACTCAGAGATCCACCTGCCTGTCTCTTCCTCCTGAGTACTGCCACCCCGCCCTGCCTTCAAGCACAGATTTAAGTGTTGTGTTTCACTGTTATTAGTTCACCTCCCCTACCACGTTACACCCTTTAACTGTCACCTCCTGGTCTTCCCACACGGACCCAGACAATGGCTAAATACTCTCTGTCTCTTTGAATTTCCTTAGTCTAGACATTTAATATAAGTGCAATAGACGATGTGGTGTTTGTGATTGGCATCTTTCATTAGCATAATATTTCTGAGATCCAGTCAGCTCCAGTATGACTCGCTATTTCATCCTTTATTATGGCTGACTAGTTTTCCATTGTGTGACTTTACTGACTCACCACTTTTATCCACTGATGGATATTTTGTGTTTCCCTATACTTTTTGCTTATTATGAGTAGTTATGATAAGCATTTGTTTATATAAACACACACACACACACATACACACACACACACACACACACATCTTTCTTGGGTATACACATAGAGTGATATTGCTTGAGCATGTGGCAAGTCTTTAAATTTTGAGGAATGCCACATTGTTTTCCAACACAGCCACTAGATTTTATACTCGAGCTATGTGCAAAGGTTCCAGTTTTCACATTATGTTAGCACCTGTTAGTATCACAGGCCAAAGAGTGGGTGTAAGTGTTCAGGGCTAGGGAGGCCCTCAGAGGGTGTAACCATTTGCCCTGGAAGCAGGTGGACCTGACTTCAAATCCCCAGCACCCACAAAAGCTAAGCCTCGTATGCCTATAACCCCGGCACAGGGGGAGAAGAAGATGGAGACAAACAGATCTCCAGAGCTCTGGGGTCCAGCCAGCCTAGCCATTGCTCAGCTTCCAGTTCTATGAGAGAAGGGAATAAGGCAGAGAGTGATAGAGGATGACATCTGAGGTCCATGGGCCTTTCATGTGTATGCACAGCCTCAGCATGTACCAAACATATCACACACACACACACACACACACACACACACACACACACACACACACACATACACACACACTCTCACATATACAAGCTCATCTATACAAATAAAATAAAATAAAATGCTTAAAAGAAAAAAACAAACATAAATTACCCTCCTTGGCTGGAGAGACAGCTCAGGGTAAGATTGTGTTTCACTCTTCCAGAGGGCCTGGGTTCAGTTCCCAGAACCCACATCAGACAGCTCACAGGTGCCTGGAACTCTTAGACCAAGGGATCCAACAACTGGCCTCTTCAGAGACTGCATTCACATGCATAAATCCATACACACACATGTGCACACACACACATCACACACACTTACAAAAAACAAACGACAACAGCAAAAAAGCCCATCTTCCCATTAAAAACCCCCAAATGGCCAGGCATGGTGGCAAACGCCCTCAGTCCCAGCACTCGGCAGGCAGAGACAGGCAGATCTCTAAGTTCAAGGCCAGCCTGGTCTACAGAGTGAGTTCCAGGACAGCCAAGGCTATGTAGAGAAACCTGTCTCAAACAAAACAAACAAACAAACAACAAATCTGAATGATTATCATAACTTGGCATCTCATAGCATGTATTACCAAGAGCAAGTCCAATTCCTCAAGCTACTACAGCCCACCAACCTGTGCCCACCAGTAGACTAACTGTGACTAATTCTTAGTCCTTTCAGGTCTCCCTAGGCAGATGGCTGTAAGTCACCAACGCCTGGAAACCTTTGCTATACTCTGCCATTGCATCAGTATGGCTCTCTCTCTCTCTCTCTCTCTCTCTCTCTCTCTCTCTCTCTCTCTCTCTCTCTCTCTCTCTCTCTCTGTCATTTTTAATTTT